TGATCATGAATGATTTTCGCTTCTATGCATAGGAAGTGCTAATGATCAAAATGAATAGATGAATCAAGTCAGGAACTGTGAATGCTGCAAAAGAAAGGGATAGATACCTTAAAGAGTGTATGCAGTGCTTCGCATCTGTCCCTCTGTTCCACCTCTAAATTCAAATTAACACCGTCCATCGAGTAACCTGTTCAAATATTTATGACTCAAAGTACGACTACATAATCATCTCTTCTGAATTATTATTGTATATTTGATAGCAAAAAATGGACAGAGTGCTGCTGATGTCACGGAGAGATCACACTTTCATGCAACTAAAATTCCGTATATTACAACCAAACATTTATAAATTACAGTTGTAATTTGTTTGTATCGTTCCAAAACACCATAAATGCACCCACGTAAACAATGCCATTCATTTTTCTTGACAATGAACGAAGTATTCCGTGACAGTGAATTGCAAATACCATGGACTTTTTGGTTGTGGGCAAGTGCACCTAAAATAAGACCAGACATACATCGAATGTTTACCTTCTGATATATTACTTTTTTCAAATTTTTCATTGATTAAATTGATATACATTTCAAAACTTTGACCAGTACACTGTATATATGTTTTCCAAATTTTTTGAGAATTTTTAATTTGTTTATTTTTAATTTGTTTTATTGCTTTGATTCATTTATCCATCTATGTAGCTATTCGTGGATTTATTTATTTATTTCTTCATATTAANTTGTTTTGTAATCAATGCGTAAATGAAAGTCAGAAGATCCGATAGCTGGCAACTGTGAACATTTGGGAGTCATTTTCGAAGACGCAACTGTCATCATTCTGATGTGGTCACTGATGGCTGTTCATTAGGGTGACGCAAAGGTGGCACAAGAATTTTATTGCTCCGATCTTTAAACACCATTCGATTCAGTTTCGTGTAGATTAAGGACTACTCACCTGAAAATATTGCAAGTCGAACTGGTGCACAGCGTTTAAAGTTCTCCGTCCAGCACTAAGCTAGCGATCCTCTTTGTTTCTTGATTTTTCCGTTTTTCTGCAACGGATGAAAATGATCACTTTATTACGGGAAAATTTTGCGTAAAATTTCGCAGCAACTTAGCTGCGACCCGCACTGTGCATAGTGCTCAAATAGTTCTTTACGTCAATAGGCGCTATTTTCCGTGAGTGTGCTCGATTTCTGCAGTCTTTCCATGGATTTTTGTTGTACAATGCAAAAATGGCATCAATACACGTCAAATCTCTGTCGGGAATATTTTCAGTGGATATCGCACCTTACGGTTGAAGAAGTTCAGCGTTAACGCGTGCAAAAATTCGAATGCATCCTGATAAAATTTATGCGCCTAGCAAATGCATTAAAGAGCGACGAAGATTTATCACCGAATACTCTGAAATTTTTAAGATACGTATACCATTCAATAATTTAAAGATTCATTGGAGAAATAAGGCAGCTTGCAGTTGGAAACAATTTTTAACTCGTTCACTTTATCAAATTCTCAGTGTTTTGAATGCGACAATAAAAGTGCATTTGAAGAATGTATTTCAGTCAATCGTAGCGTTCATAAAAGTTGGATTCGTCAAATATTCCGATTTTTTTTTTGTTTAATTCGGCAAACAAAAGTCAGTGATCATCAACGCAAGAACTAATTAAGTGGCATTTGTGTAATCGATCGTTTTTATTGGTCTTCTACCGCATCGGTGACGCAGTTAATATTAAAAACCAGAAGACATTTCAAAGACAAGTTTTGTAAGTGTAATTATCATATTAAGTGGTCATTTTCAAAGTGAGAATGCTGAAATAAAGCGCAATCCTTATTTCGAAATCTGACTTCATATCAACGATGCTCTTCTCACCGATCAAGTATCCATACTCTTAAAAGTGAGCATTTTCCGAATTNAGATGTGGTCTCAGTTTAATAACGCAAAGTATTGTTTTCGAGTTGCATTAGATATGCAATGCTACGCAAACAGTTTAGAGATATTTGCATTGGACTGTTAGTGATCCGTGATAATGCTTCCATTTGCTGCATTTTTTGCAATTGAATATAACCCAGCATAGATTTTCTTCCGGCTGACGAGAGAATTTTCAGACTTTTTGTAAAGTTATTCTATGAAAAGAATCAAGGACAGGTGTGCAACAAACCATCAAGCTTCGAACGACTAATCTCAGATTTAAGGATCAATATTTAGGTTTTAGTGGTGGCTGACTTCCCTTCACCAGGCTCCTTTTGGAAACCTCGTTTTTTAAAAGAATTTCCGGAGATGACTTAATCTCATTGCGATGCTCAATTCAACCTAATGAATGATTAGCCCTGGAGATATTCCATGTAATCAATGAGCCCGAAAGTTGACATACTGGAAGGAAACAAACCGCAGAAAATACTTGCATGCAATCAGTGGCGTGGCGTGGAAATCTGCCAGGGATGGCGGGGCGCGTAGTCTCCGCTTATGTACGCCACTGCATACATTGAAGAACGCATGATTTATAGATATTATGGGTGAAACTTGTTTGGATTCTACAGTGTCGTCTGCTGTTAAGGGGAAAAACAAAGACTATTAGGCTCCTTGCATTGCTTCAGTCGGGTATTTCGTTTCTGCATGTTTCTGTATTTATAATGGCCAAGGAAAAAAATTGAGCATAATTTTCGTGAAATTCATGTGACCAGTCTTAGGAGGCTTGGTTTGGTATGGAGTCAGTTGAGCTGATTTCGAAGTTTATCTTTGTTCCTCATCAGTTAACAGCGAAAAGCAATGAAAAAAGATTCCTCGGCGATGACAAAGTTGAAATATATCAACAAGTTCGTTTATTCATGAGAACAGAAGATTCAATGAACATTCGAGAAATTATCTTTAAGATGAACGGCAAAGCAATCGTACTATTAAAGTGATGGTTAAGGAATGAGTAAGAGTTCATCAGTTGATGAAGATAAATTTGAATTGCCACGGACTTTGAGATACGGCAAGTGCATGAAGTCAGTAATTTTGAACTCCATTCTACTTCTATGATCAGTCTTCACGCAAGATTTTCAAAATATCCTTCAGTAAGTAAATATAAAT